TTAAATAAATAGTTTCTACGCTGAAGAAGGAAGAGTCCAGCTTTTTTTGCCAGAACTCTTTCAAAAAACAACATTTTAGATATAAAGATCTTTTTTTTTAAACATGTTGCCTTCTTCCTGCCTTGGAAAACAATTAAAAGCAGATAATTTTAAGTAGGCAAACATTATAAACACATCCACCTGTCATGTCAGTTAAAGGTAGGAGACAGCAGATGCAAACACTGATGTGATCTTTGCCACCTAAACCCTGTAATATATAACAAAAAATTAAATGGAAGAATACTGAGCTCACAATAGAGATGCACCGAGTAGTTCGTCAGAACAAGTCAGATTTCCTGTCAGTTCAGAAAGTAAAGGTCGTACTAAGCCAAACACTCTTCAAGGTGGATGTTGTTACTGAAGTAAGAATACTAATAATGCGAATCAAACTGATTTTGAAATGTTTAAAAAGCATATCACAGGCAAACTCGTTGGTCATTCAGTCAGCTGTTTATAAATCAGGCAACGTTTTAGTGGATAACAGGAAGAATGATCCAAGATAGAAGCCAAGTTGCTGTTTTATCGTCATGAGCTTCCAAACAGAGTTATAAAAGTGCTAGATCTGAAAATTATGGTAAAGACAACACACAGAAACAGTGCAGTTTACATATATAACTCCTTTTATGCCCATTTAATCCCTTCCTGCCTCTACATCCTATATGAAACACTTCATACCCATGTATTTAGATCATTCAGTGCAAGTTTAAATTTCTAAGTAGAGTATTTCATGAATTAAGTTGATAAATTTCATTTAACTTAACCAGCATTACCTTTCCCCATTTTCAATTCTAAGCTGTCGATAGAAGAAAACTGGTTTGCTGGGGTTCAGCTCATATTTATTCCAATAAACATCTAATCTTATATATCGAAGGTTGTACTTTAATGTCATACTAAACGCAGTATGGTAAAAAAAATATATACATATTTAGAGCAGTGCAGTATGGTAAATTACAATTATGTGTTAAAAATTACAATCACAAAAAAGACTTTATACATTTATTGGTAGGGTATTTATTCTAATATGGGATTCCTGCTCTATATAACAATAGATTTACAGCTGGATGGGCTCTAAGTTCCTTTAATGCCAATACTGACTGTTTCAGGGAACTTAGAGATAAAGGGAATAAAAACCCCATCGATTAATCATAACCGTAACTTTCAAGGCAGTTTTCTGGGATATTATCCCAGTTAAAAATCATGCAGCTCTGCAAAAACAATACATTTAAGCTGGTCCGTAATCACATGCTACACATGTACTGAGGTAACCTCCTCACATGCACTCTGGATTCCTCCATTACAGATACAGGTTATTTTTATTTCATAACATTCTTGATGTATTTTAATGGTGTTTAACTTTTCTTTTGTCCGACAAAATTGTTATATTTAAATTAGTGTGTATACATTTGATTTATTTCAATGATCCAGTTATTTTCTGTAGTTCCCAGGTTTTATATTTGGAATAATTTCATGATATAACATTTAGTGTAGTTTCTGACGTTACAGCCCTACTGGTTCAACTGGATTGTTTTCAGACAAGGACTGGTGCTCAGCTGGGACCAGGAGAGTAAATTACGGTAATGAAAGAAAACATTGACAATGAGCATTTAAAACAAACTAAAAGAAATGTTTATAGTTATAATTTGAAACCAGATTGGGGGAAATTGGTGTTATCACAAAACCAAAGATTAGCCACCCAACTCCTATCGGTGCATCTCTAATGTACGCATCAGTGCACGTGATACTCCAACTGAAGCAGAAAAACTGGCTAAACTCACCCAAACAAAAAGGAGTGTGCGCTTTGTGATATGCTATGCATATCTAACACAAAACCCAGACGGTGCAGTTAGTGAAGAAAATACTTTCATTTTACCTCCACTGTCACTATAGTTGCTGCACCAACATTCATGTCAATAAACTCCTATTTGAATTTTTGTCATTTTCCATAATATACAGCTTAATTAAAACCTCGGGTTATCCAGCATCTTAGACACAACAGGTTATCTCTCTAAAAGACGTGCTTCTTTACATTCCTGTTAGATCTTTGCTTTTCATCATGACATTTAGTTCACGGATTGGACAGACGGCAACTGACGGCATCAACATACACGTGTCAATGACTGAGCCTAAAAAGAAATCCGATACAGACGAGACAAAGCAAACCACAAACGTATATATTTTTTTTTTCCAAAGCAACAAAAAGCAGCTTTCTAATAAATCTATTCACAGCAGCACGAGCCACGGGGACAGAGAACAAACATCAAACAGTGAGGAAAAATTAAAACAAAAAAACCCCCAAAACACAGCTCCGAATACATTATCAGGAGGAGCGAGTCGGTTGGCTGGCGGGAATAAAAGGAACAGAAGCTGCACTGCGCGTGTTGAGCCAACATGTTGCTGCCACGGCAACCGCATCCCCCTGCGAGGACGGGAGACTAAACCTGGAGAGAGCGAGGGAGAAGAGGACAAACAAGGCAGTGCACACAATCACAGACCTCAGACAGTCTCTTCTCTTTATCACACAGAAGGGGAGAAAAATAAATAACATCATGGCTGAGCAGCTGCAGCTCTCATATCATCTCCAAACGGGCCATTATTTTGGTGGTCCCGCAATCTGCACATCTGCAGCTTCTCATTCAAACCACCCATCATGCCTGTAACACAAAATGCTACGACATACCCGCCTTTTAGACGTTTTCTAACCCGAAGGCAACTATTTCATGTCAGATATCTTGTGCTTCACTTAATGTTACTCTGTGCTTGTGTGGATCATGTCAGTCAGGCAACAAGACATAAACCCCATTAAGTCTAAATCTGTTCAGCATCTCTTCAAAAGCCCATCTTCATTCTACGGCTTTCACACCGACAGCTCATCAGTCGCAGCCAATCAGAGCCGACAGGCTTATCAGCAATGTCAACGACAAACACAGAGGACCCACTCAGGCAGCACAGGAGCACATGGCGGTGGCAGCCGGTTTACTGAAAGCTTGTTAGGATGGCAGAGAAGTACTTTCAACTTATGGTAAATGTAAAAAAAAAGAAAATCATCTGGATAATTCAAGCTCTAAAATACATAATGAACAGAAAAAACAACAGTGATTTCAATTTGAGAGAAGGTTCAGGAATGACTAAGAATTATGAGCTGACATTAGGCATGGGCTGGGCTGAGACGCTATATGGTAAACAATGTTGAAGCAAAATGTAAAACCAAAATCACTCATAATCCTAGCAATCTAAGATTCTAAATTGTCATTTAATGAACTTCCTGATAGGAAATGACAAAGGTATATAACAAAAGATACTATAAGAGGATCAAATTCCAACAAATATACACAAACTTTTGTTTAGTTTTCAAAGACTGGATAATTGGAAAAAAAAAATTCCCTTGTCAAAACTGAATGTGGAAAAAACAAACCTTACTAGCTTCATCAGAATCTAACCTTTCTAATATTATATTCAGTATTTTGATGATTTATCTTTGGTGACGAGCCTCACGTCTTTATGGAGGCTGTGAGATCTTCTTCCATCACCATAATCCGATCTTTAAGGATCAGGTCAATTAGTAAATACTATAGATGTCATTTCAAGTCAGAGGAAAGATGAATAAATTAAAATCTTGATTTAAACCCCAATATAGAACAACTTTGGCCTAACTTTATAGGTCCAAATTTAAATCTAATTTCCACCCTAGCTTATTGTATGTTTTTTTTTTTTACATTTCTAAGACAGGTAATGTTCTTTAACATCAACAGAAAGGTTCATTTCTCTACCTGTTATATAAAACATGACTTTAACATATGTATTAATGTTACAACTAACAAAGATTTTTGATTTTCATGCAAAAATGAGGAAAAATACAAACTAAACATCAGCTATATATATTCATTTTTCCATTGCAGGATAAATAAGTAAAAATTAGCAGAGAAATAATGCTGCCTTCTTCGAGCCAGCTGACAGACTGTGCACAGCAACAGGTGAACTAGATGTGGTGCTCTCTGGAGTCACATCTTAAGGTGATTATTTTTTAAATTAGGAATGATGGGAAACTTTGAATGGTACATTTAGAAAACCTTTTAATAACCCGATAGTTCAGACCAGCCCATGCCTGCTAGAGAAAAACCAGCAGCCCTTAACTGGTCAAACATAACTATATATGAAATCAAAACAAAGATGCATGCCACCTCCATCTAGGAAAACGCCATGTTAGACATGTACCCCTGCTCTCTGCAGCTCTGATCAGACTACACAGAAACACATAAACAAACCATCTGTTCATCAGAAACTCACAAAGGCTTTCTTTTTTTTATGTAAAATTGTTTCATGTGCAGCTGCACACGTGTAATACTGTATCCCGTGCAGAAGGAGGCGGATCCTCGGCTGCGTCGCCCTATATGCAGATGGTTGAGGTCACACACCTTCATGCACAGCTACTTTATCTCACACATACATCTTTCCTCCTGACTTGCTTAAAAGACAAACTGCAGGAGACTGATACTTTTTGGGAGGCTTACAGACCCAGAGGGCTCAAACTGAGCAGATTTCCATTTCAGTTCCCCATTTTAGACACTGCTGCTCCCTGGTGGAAGCTTAATGAACTGCAGCTCTGCACACAAACTCAGAAACCTGTCAGGTTCATATTCACAATCTGACATTGCATAAAGAGAGACATCTTATTAACATTAAAGCTTTGGATTGACGTAATTTGTTCAGAATGTCAACGCCGCCTCCTCTGCACTATCAAGCTCTGTCAAACTGCAGCTGAAATAGATATATATATTTATAACAAAAACACCTGGAATGAGGATAAATATTCATACGCTGAGATTAATGGCCGAGCGCCAACAGACGTCACTCTGTGTAGTGCGGGCTAGACCCGTTGACAAGGTGAAAGATGGGGATTAGTAAGAGATTCCTGACTGCGATTCAGTGTTTCATTTCAGATTAAGAAAACAAAAATTACTTGCTCTTATATTAATCTATATTTTCTTTTTCAGAAGAATGATTTTTAAACATACAAATCATTACGATCACAATCCATAATCACTGTTACATGTGTGCTGCTTGCATTGTCTGACAAGCAAAGAACCCCAGAAACAAAAAAAAACAAAACATTCCTGTTAATGTCCAGCATTAGGGGAAGTGTAGAGCATGATATTAAGGCGCAAAAAAAAAAAAAAAGAAGAAAATCCAACATTTGCGATTATACTTTTTCTCTTTTTCGCCTCAATCTCAGCTCAATTTGCCATTCCAGACCTGCAGGATATCTGGGCCAAATTATCAACCCACAAGTCTCCTCTGTCAGTGTAGGAATGAGCCGTTTGTGGAGCTGTGTGGCGCTGACCCACTTTGACCCGTCCAATGGTGAGCAAACATCTCAGGGAAGATGGATGGAGGGAAAAACAACAGACACGTGTAGGAGGTCTGGTGAATGACATGAAAGCTGGCTGATGCTGATTCTCCTTCGCTTCTCTCCTCACTCTGCCCATCCTTGGATTTACTTTGGGAGTGACATTTTTTGTTGTTTTTTTTTTCCCCCCAAAGAGGGACTTCCTTCTGTTCTGGGGCAGAGATGGCCTCAGACTCACTCCTTCTCTTTAGTCAATGGGCACTCTCTGTGGGTGGCTGTGATGAGTGAATCAGTTCTAGTTCAAGTGAAGGTTAACCTTGTTTTAGGATGTGGCGATTTCTCCCCCTAGGTGGCGCCATCCCTTCTGTTGCGTCTCCAGTGGAGGCAGGAACTCTGTAACACAAGAAATCTGAGTGACTGCCTTATCTAGTCATGTGGCTCATGAGGAAGCTGCCAGCAGGTCAGATGAGTTTATGATCCTCCGGCTTCTAGAAAGCTTTCTCGTTCACATTTATCTAGTGGCTTGTTAACATACTTGTGATAATTGCACGTAGTTGACTGGCTGAATAGTTCAACATCTGATGCGTAGATCTCTTAGATTAGGAAGCCACTCCTTAATCCGTCATACGTTACTCATAAGGCACAACAGGACAAGAATTTTACTACGCTGAGCAGTTTTTCTTTCTTTAAATAAACAGATTATAATAATAAACATCTTACTGAACCTTGTTTTATTTCGTACACTGTCTTGATTAATGTCCAACTTCCTTATTCTAATTTCAGAGTCTAGGCCTAAAATGGAACACCTTGGTAGGTTTGAAGTTGTGTCAAAAACGTTTAATTTCCAGAAAATTAACTAAATAGCGCTGAAAGCTTGGGATATGACTTTCAGCTGCAACTAACAATTATTTTGCAAATCGATGAATCTGTTGACTATATTTTTGATTAATCGATTACTAATCGGATAGCCAAAGATTCCTCAAAGAAGATTTTTTACGAAATTAAACTACAACTTTTCAACTTGAGGAGTTCTAGATAGACCATATTGAAAACATTTAATCTTAAATGCAAAATGTTTGCATACTTTCTTACAATTTTGATATAATTACTGCTCTAAATGAGTTGATCTTTTAGCTAAAGGCATGTTTTACAGTCTCTATTCTCCAGTTAATCGATTACTAAATGAGTTGATGATCATTTCAATAATCGATTAATCACGATTAATTGTGCCAGCCTTTATAACCTATTTCTAGTTTAACATGTCCACTATTCTAACCCTCACCTTTTAACTTTATCCCTGGTCTTCATACTCTGCTTTGTTCTCTAATGTTCTCTAACAAACCCTTTGGATAAAAGCTGGATTCACACTATGATCAAATTCCACACAAGGGTGCTCTATGGGCTAATTAAAACGCATCTACATGTAACTGGATACTCTGGATTATATTAAGTGGGAAGGAGACTCCCTTTAAATGCCAGTATATATATATTCCTTTCATGTCATCCTGCATTACTTTGTGCTTGGAAGATAAAATCACTACAAAACACACTAAATTTGGGGTTTGAAGCATATCAAAAGCTTCATGGTTATGAAGGATTCTGCAACAATGTGCTTATGTTACTCAATAAGCTTTTCTAAATATAAAACCAATTCCTCATTCTTAAAATAATTTACCAATTTCAGTATTCATTTATTTTCAATAAAGTAAGAATTACTGCTTATAATTCTCTCCCTTCCCCTGACATTTAGGTTTGATCCTATTGGTCTGCTGCATAATTCATGTTCCTAGATGGCTGCTATTCATCAAAGCAGCTCTCAGGCTGCATATTCCGCTGCGATAAAAAGCTACTATCTTGGATCTGAGTCTTTTTTAAACAAACTAAAGACTTTAAATCCGATGAACTTTACTTGAAAAATGTATATATAAATGCAAAATGCTTACCACTGTTGCTACAGTTTTTGTTGTCTTTATCAGAGGCCTCTTCCTCCACCTGAAACATAAAAAAAATTGACACTTAAAAAAAAAAATCCTAAGAAAGCATGGGCCCTGCAAAGGAGACTGTAAGAAAACAGGCTAAGTTTAGACACACAAAGCCTTTCCCAAAAGAGGAAAGGAGGGGTCCCTTACCTGCTTCCTCCACTTCAGCTCACAAAAGACGCGCTCAAAGCATTCATGCATGTAGTTGAACTGGGAGAAGAGGAAACAAGAGAAAGCTGTTATTGACACTTTTTTCTGCTCAGATTACTTCCATTTGCTTATTAAGACATAAATAGAGGATTTTATTCTACAGTGAATTGATAAAGGGTAACAGGAATAAAAAAAAATTAAATTAAATGGTCAAGATGTTGTTAAGATCTGTCTCTACTTGGTAGATGGTTAATAACCCTGTTTTCTATAGTATTAGTGATATTTTTTTGCAATACTGGCAGATATTCAGAGGGACAATGTTTCTGTTAAATGCTTTATTTTCCATTATTTTCATCACAGAGTCACAGGGATACCTGAGAGAGGAGCTAGATTTAATTGGATATAGGCAAGAGAAGCCTAATGTATACTGGTATGGACCAATGTTCCTTATAATGATCCATGTGTCTGGGCATTTACACAAGGCCCCACTGGGAGCAATATCAGATGTGCAGGATGTGGCCACACACCAATATACCAGTTATAATCCCAGGATTATAGTAAGTTACATTGCTTATTAAAATAATCAGATTACAGCTGCTATTTCCATTAGCTAACTTTTAATATAAGTGAGTTGGCCCCTTGTTCATGATGTTATATTTGAGGGTCCTGTTCTAGAAGAAATTAGAGATTAAATCGTTCTGACATAACTTTATGTTGACATTAAGACATTGTAAAATTGTGTACATTTCTGTATCCCTGTAAGTCTGCAAAATATTTTATGACACAGTCTGTATTAGCATCCTACAATAAATTAGATAATAATAAAAGCATTTCAAGATTAATATCTATATAGGAAAAATGTCTCAATAAATGTTACTAGAATAGGAACAAATCTGACTAAAATCTGATCTGTTTTTCTTGTCTGTCTTTCTCATTTCTTTGATGGTTTTCCAAATATGCCACTTTAAGAGCTTTCTGGATGCTGTTTTGATACGAATCATTAAACTAAATCTTTCGCAATCAGCACTGGATGCTTCAAATGTAGCACCAATATCCACAAGCTGTGAGATCTCCCTTAGCTCCTCACACCTAAGTGTTTCAGCCATCTTATCTCCTGTTAAAGTCATTGCTTCATCGTGTAGCCTATCTGAATTTATCGAAGAAAAAAGTCACATATAGCATAGGGCGTTGAAGAGGCGCATCTTCAGCTGTGTGCCTGTTGCAAACTAGTGAGTATCATTGTTCTGGAAGCCCAGACTGGTTAAGAATTGGGGCCCCAACATATTCTTCTTTCTGCTGGATTATTTATTTATGCATCTGTAGCTCTCTCTAATGCGCTGAATAAGGATATTTGGTAAACTTTTTTAAAGGACACTGAGGTTTAATTAAACACATTCATCCAAATGCAAATCTTGTATGTATTTGTTTTTTATAAAACTTATTTGATAGTGATATTTTGAACTGGGGTTGAAGAGTAGATGGAGCACATAGATTTATAGGAATTTAATAAATGTATTTCATATTTACCCAATTCATTTGTTTTTTTATATATACATTTAATTTATTGTGGTAATGAAATATAACTGTTCTCAATTTCTCTATATTATGAAATAACAGCTGTTTCTTTTTCATTGTTAGGTTTAAGTTGAAAAATTAAAGAATGATACATGGATTCAAAGAAGTACAGCAAAAATAAAAGTTATTTGTCTAATTGATTTACAGTTTATGTTGGATTTTATTCTTTGTGCAGCATAGATTTTTTTGAGCGCTAAGAATATGCTAGCATTGAGTGATTGCTAAAGCCCACAGCTTAGAGGGAATATTAGTATGGAGACATTAGGTTTTGTGTAAATATAAGTTAAACTTTAAAAATGTGAGGCTATTTTTAGGGATAAAAGGTCAAAACTGACATTTATCCCTCCACAGCCTCTGACAGTGAATATTTATACATTTTGTAACAATAAAACCTTAGAGAGTGCGCAACCACACTTACATATGGAGTGAAGATCTTAACCCAGCGAGGTTTTTTCTCTCCTCTGGCATACTCGAAGCAGAAAGCCATGCCTTCCTCATCAGTGTCCCACCGCTGCATCTCTGCCCACTCAAAAGCTATTACCTGGTTCTAAAGAAACAGACATTTACCTGAATGTTATAATTAAATATGTGAGAAAACTGATTTTCATCTAAAAAAGTAAGCATAGAGACATTATCGCCCAAAGTCACAGAAAGTATGAATGTAAACAAATAATCGACTTACAAGTAGTTGTCGATTAATGGTTTATTAAATTGAAAATTGTTCCTCCGGTTAACTGATAAAAGTTTTCCTTCTTGGTATGAGAGGAAACTGAAGTTTTTAAGAAAATGGCCGCTTATCTATAAATCTTTATCCATCTATCCATCCATCATTAGTTGATTGATAAGATCAATCAACTTTAGATTAATCAATTGATCAAAATCTTGAATCCCCAATAAAATTAAACATAAAAAGTGATGAATCATGTCCTGCAATTAAAATAGAATTGGTAAATGGTCACCTCTAGTGTGCCGTCCTCAGTGCACGCATGCAGCTTGAAGTGATGGATGCTGATAGCTGTGATGACATGGCCCTTCCTCCTGGAGTCACAGGAGCAGTGTGGGAAGACCACCTCATTATAGCCCTCACATGTCCGCAGCAGGCTCAGGTACTAACAAGCATCATAGCAGACGGGAGTCAGTAATATCCAAAACAACCAGCTTAATTAAAAGTCATGAAAAATAAGAATAAAAAAAAAAATGCATCCCACTGTCTAAATGGAACTGACTGAGTCTTAATTAGGGATGGGGATCGTTAATATTTATTGATATCGATACGTTTATCGATACTCCTTATCGATCCGAGTCTTTATCGATACCACTATCGATACTTTTCTGTTATTTAATGGAAAGACGATGCAACAAATTTTTTTTAACAGAACTGCTATTGCTTTTATTGCTTAACAAGTGAGCATAACAAAATGTTTCTAGCCTTCAATAAACATGGCTAATGTAATAGGCCACTTCGAAATGACATAAAACTAACTAGAATATATTTTCACAATTGTTGGTTTATGTATTATACGTCTACTGTCACTTTTCATCATGTTTTTAGTGATTAGGAAAATATTTAACAAATAAATAATTGTATTTTAAATTAAATGTAATTTTTAATAAATGTTGGCATCAGTAGTTTCATTATATATTCTAAAATAATTAAAGCAATATACAACTGTATTACTCATGTTTCTCGCCAAAAACAAAATTTCCCGTTTTCTTTACGTTACACTTGAACGCATCATGATAACCTAATTGTTGTTTTACTGAGCAAATCTGAACACATCATCACGCAGCACGTCTGAAACTTTATTTACTTTTCAAGCTAACTAGCTTGTATGCTTCCGATTACAACACGGATTTCACAATTAATATTTTTAACTGACCGGACAAGCTACAAAGTCTGTGTGCGCGCTGACCAGTGTTAAGGCCCATTCATACCTCACGTTTGGCCTGCACGTCCGTATTTCTGTCCGTACGTTCTATCCGTTGACTCCTTCATACCTCCGTCCGTTGAGGTGCGCAATAACCCGTATTTCCTCTAGGTGGCAGTGCTGGGCGCCAATGATTCGTCATTGATCAAAACATGGCGATGGTCCAAGACTTGATTCTGTTGCATTCTTAGTGATTTTGTTGACATTTTGTATTAAAAACTCAATAGCGCCCCCACCGTTTCCGGTAGTATTGCTCCGTATTGATCCGTTTCGTCCGTAAGCGTAAGCTCCCAATTTTCGTGTCAAAGTACGGACGAAATCGACGGTTAGAACGTATGAAACACTCCACACGTATCCGTATCCGTCTTTTACGTGAGGTATGAATGGGCCTGTACTCTGAGTGGATGATGAAGACGAGACGGCTGTGGTGCGGCGGGGCAGCAGCCGGAGGAGGAGGAGTCTTTTCGTCTGTTCATTCATCCTCGAGTCGCGAGCGAAGTTAACTGCCAGACTTAACTTGTTTTACTTTTAATATCTGTTTGCTTACAATTTCATTCCAAAACATTGATGGACATGCTGCAGTGATTGGATTGATTAGATTTAAATGCTGTGACGCGACTCGAGGGACACACAATTATGTTACAGGACCTCCGGGAGAAAAGAAAAAAAACGACCAGACTCGATAGTGGTATCGATAAGCCCAAACGTTATTGATTTTCGGGTTTTGAAAAAAGTGGAACCGGGTCCTTGATGGAACCGGGTTTCGATCCCCATCCCTAGTCTTAATGTAGGCAGATTAACTAAAGTACATTTAATTAATGACATCAGTGTAAAGTACAGATATTGTGTGAAAAGGAAATCATTTTAGCCATAATTTTTTGCTTGGCTCCATCACATGACCTCCTCCTCTAATAGGTTACAATGTGAAAAAACATAAAGAGGTTTAAGTACATCTGAGAATGCACCACAGAGTGATGTTAGAGACCAACTTCCTTTAATAAGTCGCAAAAAAACAGCCTAAGGGTATTAGTCTTAATTAAAAAAAACAAATAATTTCTGATGCGGAAGATCTAGAATTCATTATTTTTTATCCAATCAAATGACTTTGCCGGTTTCATAAACACTTTTTAGCTGTTACCTGAATTGGATGTCTAGTAATGCAATATATTGATACTAGGATTGTAGGGACATTCAGAGCTGGAAAACCATTTCTTTTTTAACTAAGTCCTTGTTGTAACCTTCGAGGTTTGTTGTCTAAACCATGAAAACATTTCAGACCATTTCTGTCTGTGTTGGGAGTGTTTTTCCATTCAGTCCCCCCGGACCCCCCCAATAAACAAAGACTAGCCTGTGGTACTGACTGTGGCCATCTTGCGCTGCTCTGCCAGTTTCTGCAGCTGGTAGGATTTGTCCTCAGTTTTTATGAATCCCTTCTTCACATCGTCAAGAGCCTAAATGGACAGGGAAGGGTAGGAAGGGGTCAGAGAGATGCACAGATGATTACATGTTTAAGAGGAAAAACAGTCACTGTCCAGCACAAAATCAGCAAAAACGAAAACGAAAAAAAATTCTGATAGTGACTGTTTCTGCTCTTTTGTTTCTGTTATTATAGTTTCAAACAATATAATTACTCTGCAAACTAGACATGAGCCACTATAAGATGGTCTGGTTAAGATACCCTTAAGCAAAATACAGAGGTTCATTAAGGCTAATGCAATTATCTAGAACAGATGTGTAATACAGAATGATCCAACTGCTTGTATTCATTTCATTTAGATTATAATTAGTTAAAGGTAATGAAAATACAGAACACAGATTCTTAAAAAAATGAAAATATTAAACCACCATTATTTGACTATTCTCTACAGGTGAAACAGAGTTTTCTAAAGCAGGAAAATCAGCACTTGTCCTTGTATTGTACAGTATGCACCCAGGTTTGGGTTAGAGCTCCAGTTTCATGAATCCCTGCATCAGTGCAGCTCTGCATGGAGATGATCAGCTTGTGCCTCTGCTAAGGTGTTAAGAATATCCAGCTTTCATTATCTGTGTTTCCATTAACCAGATGGATTGTAATTCTGAAAAAGCAAAATTCACTAACTGGAAATACTGTTTTTCAATATAAGGTTTTTACGCTTCAATGAGGTGGTTGTTCAGTTATACTTTTGAAAACTGAAGTAGAAACACTGTTTTTCTCATCATACGAGTCACATGATCTGCAGCTGGACCTTACTGCTTTATAATGAAACAAAGAAGACTGGAGTTGGAGGATGATTGTGCTCACTAGAGCCGTAGCTGATGCGTTTACATCCGTGGCTGCCATGTTGTTTTCAAAACTATCGTATGAAAAAACTTATTTACAGTAAATCTTAAAAGAAAGTTAATTAATGGAAAAACTGCAATTGCAAAACCGCAGTTATTGTGTCTCTGACTGTAGAGACCACGGTTTCTCTATTAAGTTTAAATCAGGAGAATTTGCTGAAGGAACTAGATATTTTTGGTTACTTTGATAGGTTTTATGTACCCTTAAATATAAAACCATCATCTCAAATAAACTTGTCAAGCACAGGGAAAGAAAGTGCTCTAAAATCTGGTGGACAGCTGAGCAGTCTGGTTTTGACAAGGAGTTCTTCAATCATCAAGGCATTTGAAAACTTCTGGCCCTGAAGCATCCTGGATATTCTTCCCTTCCACAATTCGTCCAGATTGTAGTCTCTTAAAACTCTGATTGGACCTTTATTTTCATCTAATGAGAGGAAAAAGGACTGTTCTGTTGGTACTAAGACACATGTGACATATCTGGTTTCAGAGTGGCTCAACAAAGGCAAGCTGACAGGGGTAGCCATGATAAATTCTTAAAGGTATAGAGGATGATTTTTTATTTGTGGGTAGATCATCTAAATAAGTGGTCCTCGTAATTGTCAATCATTTTGGTAATATGTTTATGTAAAGCTGTCCTACGTGCTCGTCCCCAGTTAGTTATCTTTATCTGAGTATCTTCAGGTGTAAATCTGTGGTGAGCTACTGTTTCAGACCGTCATTGAAGCTCACCTTTCTCATCCCAGTTCTTTGAAAATGGCCGAGGCTCATAAGAGAAAAAGTGTCTATGAAGTGTATGAGACGAAAAGAAAGGCCTCAGAAGGCGCAGATATATCCTGGAATGCTGTTGCACGGAAAGCATACTATCACAGCGGACTGCTGTCGCCATAGGCTGCCACTACCCGACAGGGGTGACTAATAAAAATGGCGCAGGCACCACGTGGTGGAGGAGGAGTTACGTGGCCAACGGGAGCAAAAAGCAGTGATCGTCTATCTGAACAGTCAGTTTATAAAGTCCACTATATAGTCCCCGCTCTATATAGCGATTAAAGGTTTTAGGGGTTAGAGCGGACATTCGGGCACAGTAAGCTTGTATGAGCTATGAGAAGAGAAATTTTTCAAAAGAGCGTGCATGAGGAGAAATGGGCTTGTGCATGATCTCGCAAACGTTTAATACGCGTTTCCTCTCTGGAACAGGTACAGGGTTGCGCAAGTGCATTTTCTCTAAAATGCAGAGGGCAGGTCTTTCCTCCACTCTGCCTTTAAATAGATCTGGTCTTTTCCAGGATTTCTTTGACCAGAAACATTTCCCCACTGATGCATTTTGTCTGTCTATAACCGGACTAATCAAGAGAAACATTTGAAAACCTGAATGATTTGGTATCTGGAAAGAGACAAATATTACAGCCATGATCAGAGATGTTTGAAAAATCTCTGTTCACAGTTTTACTCAGAGTGGCTGCACGAAATAGAAAGGTTCATTTAGGTGTTTTAATAGGTCACTGCTGAACTTCACAGGCCTGAGGTAATGACTGACCTAATATGCTGTAAAAACTCATGGTGTGTGTTTGAGGCAGACATTTGCATGTTATATTCTCTTTGTTATATAAACTTCTCCACAGGGTGATAAACTGTAAGCTTCTTTAGCCTTGTTTCAGTAATTAGATGGTAAAACTCATTTTCTAGTTACCCTTGATCCTTTTCATACCCAACAGGATTTTAAGGTTCTAGCATACCTGGTGGAAGCAGTAGTGAAGGGCCAGGGGGTTGTCTCTGAGCAACTCTTCCTCCTGGATACTGAACAACCATTTGCGGAGTGCTAAGCATGTTCCAGGAACCGCTGATGTGTAGTTCTGCACATAAAGCTTGTGGGGGAACTCGTTTGGGGCAAGTTTCCTCACTGCAACCAGACCAGGAAGAAGGGAAAAGAATGAGCGTTGTATTATTCATAGGTTTGGCATTTATGCAATATGAGAAAGTTTACAATATACACAGAGTTCTCACCAAATGAATGGTTGATGACTTCAAAAAGAGCAAAGTAGCTGGCCATGATGCTGTCCATTCCAACCTTCAGCACCAACGCCTAAAGAAAACAAGCAATAAGAACCCAGTTAGTTCCCAGGAGATCATATCTGACAGACCTTTCCTTATTAGCATGATGTATTAGCAACGCCTGCTGCAGATGGTACCAAACAGCTGCTCTTACCTGGTACACTTGGTCAGTCGTGCTGTTTTTACGCACTCGGACGGATATGGTGGTTTTGTCAGGCAGGGCTATCCGCAGCTCAACATCTGTGACTCCGTTATAGTTCTGCCAACAAGAACAACAAAATGCTGAGTGCAGATATAGAGCTGTGTTTACATTAAAGCCAAAGTATGTTTTCTAAAGCATTATAGCAAAAATACGTCCGTTTTTAATTCTAAGGTTGATAAATGGGGCCCTAAACATAATTAAGAAACACATTCTTTTTATAAGCTCAAATGACAAGGTTTTCCCTACAGTATTCTGGATATTTTAGTACAGAATATGAACCCTAAAAGTTCTCCTACATTAATGAGAGTTTATTTTAAAGAGCATATGTTCCAAAAACACTTGGGACTAAAACAGGAAATTCCATTCTTAAAGCAAATCTGGTGAAGGACATTTTATTTTGCAAGGTTTAATTATGGTTTTATTCTTCAAATCCATCATACAGACTTCCTGAGGCAGAATATATTCTATATAAAGCAGTTAAACAACGTTGATGCGTTTACTGTGTCCTCAGGAGGTTTTAGGATATTAAACTATGATAGTTGTAAATTAAAAACATAAAATTAAATTTATAGCAAGTGGAAGCTAAGGACAATCTGACCATAGTTAGATATCCATTCCTACATCAAAACTATTTAGATTCTATTCTTCTTTTGAAAACATAGACATTGTTATATTGAAAATATAACTCAAGATTTTTCAAGTTTTTCTTTTTTTTTATTTCACCTGCTATCAGGGTAACAAATGACAGTAAATTAAGTTTGAAAATTAAAATAAAAATTATAATATGAAAGCTAAATAACAAAAATAAAATACTGATCAATAGGACATATACCTCGTCTGATTCGGAGAGGAACTCCTGCATGATGTCACTCTCCCCTATCACCCGCACAGAACAAACTACAGAGAATAATAGAGAAGAGACAATCAGAGTGAAGAGTTATTTTTTTGTGTTTTTTGATTGACTTGATTAAAAGCTTTAAAGGATAACAACTTGGAGTCTCCCTACCTCGCTCCAGGTACTCCTCTAGACCTCTACGACGAGCGTCCAGCTGCTGCTCAGAGAGAGAGAAGGGCCATTTACCAGGCAGCTTTGGGAAGTTGAAGTTGGAGAATTCCCTCTTCAGGTTTTGGTGCAGGATGGCAAACTCTCTATAGCGTTTTGAGCACAGCTGTCTGCCTGACATGTACACGTTGTAAACCTGAGGGACATTTAAACAGATAAAATAACTATTAATAGAGAAAACATTTAAAAGGCAAGTGCAAGTAATGCAGCAGAAACAGGAAGGCTGAATTACTCACCACAAACCTCTCCGAGTGCTGCTCCACATGCTTGTATGTGGGGATGGAAATGGGAACAGCCTGCTTGTCGCTGTAGTCGTAGTTAGGCTGGATATCCTCGCCGCCTTCTAACCCATCGGCTTCCTGAGGAGGAACGGACAGCACGGCCAGAACCAGCTCCTTCTCTGCAGCACGGATCAGGTCCACCACCTGCTTATGGGTCGCACCTTCCACATTTACCCCATTCCTTAATTAAATCGTGAGAAAAAACACTTAGAACTGCAAGCCACCTCCAAACACACCATACATGTAAGAAGAACCTCCGGTTTAATTTATGTTACCTGAAACCAGAATGTGGCTCAATATGTAAGAACAACAACCAAACGGGATCAGATCCCAAAGAGCTGATTAACTCTGCATTATCGGTGAAATTCTGCATCCATGAATATATTGACAATCCCACTCAAATCTATTTTTGGCAGAAGTAAAGCGCATTTAATAAATATGCATGGAAGCACTGACTATTCTTCCTGGACATTATGCTGTTATAATATCAGGGCCTCGCCTGTCAATGATTAATACAGAGATGGGAGTAAAGCGGGTCAGCGCTATTGTTTCCCCTTCCTTTGGTACTGAAAGATGCCTCCCTTTGCCTCGCTCTTCTTGGCTTTGATGAGACCAGATGGCGGCGGCATCAGGTGTCTCTGCTAATTTTCCATTGAGAAACAGTGGGGGGGGACAGGAAGGGAATAAAACACAGAAAGATTTGCACAAATCTTTCATTCAAGACATCAGTTAGTGTTAAAAACTTGTATTTGTGCAGGATTGTGAAGAGTGAAACTTATGAAGTAACAGCCGGCCATTAACATTAACCAATGACTGCTGCTCATCTAGTAAAATGATGTAGCGTTTCATATAGGGACACAGAAAAGGGAAAAGAGATATCCAAAGACAGTACTTAAATAAAGGATTCTCTCAAGTTAACAAATTTTAACCTACAAGGTGCTTCAGACAAGTTTTTCTGACACCTAAAGACGTTACAACCTGCATGTTGACTTGCCAGAGTTTTTATGCTGGATGCCTTTTCAGGTTCAAACCTTTGTACACAGACTTAGCCTGCAACACCAGGCTTTTATTATGAAGCTACAGCTTCTGGATTATAGAAAGACGAAAAAAATATACATTAACTTGTGACTATTTTTTTTCTCTCAACATGGATAAATGAAATTCAAAACATCATCTTCCACAAAATGAATAATTCAAAGTTCTCTTGTTAGAGTGACTTAATTGAAAAATAAAAATGTCTATTATACAGAAATGTCTACCCCTTGCAACTCATACAAAGTGGGAAAGGAAATGAAAGGAGAAATGGGTATATTTTAAATTTTCTTTGTGCCGACCATCTTAGCATGAAATATAAAACCAACATCACCATATTGGGAAATAGCCCAGGCTAACTTTTAGAGAAATGCCAAAAAACATTTAATAAATATCTGCTTCTAATAACCACATGATTGATCAACTGAGAATTCAACAATGAGCAAGTATGACAAAACAAAGATGTGTTAGTTTCCTCCCAGCAACACATTATTGATGATCAACACATGATAGTTCTTAATCATGATCATTTGAAGGTAATAAATAAAAAATAAAAAAAAGCAGTAACGTGTAATGGTGTCTCAAGGATTAATCCAGGAACATAAGGTAAGTTCTTAATATCTTCAATGCGATAAGCAATGTTATGTGGCTGACTTAATAGTGTTTTCAGCCTAAAAACAAAACAATAGAAACACAAAAACCTCTGAAAAAGTAAGCAAATCTATCTATGTTACATATAGTATTACATTTTAAAAGACCAATTTCTATAATTCTTATTGGTAGTGAGATTATATCATAGAAAGTTGATGTAGGTGTCAGATTGTTAGGGCATCCTTTTATGTCTTTAATCGCTGTGTTTCCTTTTTTAATTTAGCCTACTGTTACTTCTACAAAGCCAGGAGCACACCTATCAGTCAAGCTGATAAAAAACGCACAATTTTCTAAATACAAGTAGCTTTTTTCTTCTTTGTTCAACTATGCTGATGTCTGTAACTCCTAATCACTGATCCTTGTCTGATTTTTTAAATGGTCAAACTATTAATACGTCTTCGGTTAAAAATTGGACATGTCACGTGATCGGAGGCATTCAATGATTAAATGGACAAACAAAACAGAAAGGCTGTGTTTTTAAAAACAATCTGACAACTCAGCAAGTCAAAGCGAGCCAGTGTTCCTTGTTTTCTTTTTCTCTTCTTCCTTATTTCCTGTTTAGCCTATGAGAATGTACATTATGTGAACATGTTTTCTCTGCTCTGGTTTATTGCTGATTTTACAGTCAGGTGACTGAACGTTAGGAAGCTGTTCACAGGTAAGATAGAAAGGATTTCACACATCCCATAAAATAGTTTAACATGAGAGTCAAGGCTTAAAGCTCTCTTGGATGTGTCAGGGTTCTCACCAGGAATTTTTACGACCGTAGCAGGAGGGGTTATTTTACGCTACATATTCTTTTTTATGTCTTCTTATTATCTCCCCATGTGTGAACTATCCACTTGCAGCCTCTCTCTAAGCTAGCGGGGCCGTAGCACATGTGTTCACCTGCCTGTAGGCACTCAGGGTAAGTCAAGGACAGAGTCTGAGGGCTTCATGTTGTATAGAGCTTTTCGCACACATTTGTGCAAATAATGTGGCTGTTGCGCTCATTAAAAGTCAGGGTATCAGCCTGATTTCAGTTTCAATTTGACAGCTTTCAGTATAACCAGCGTTTTGGCTAAAATGGGCTGGACAGAGCCCTGGGGAGGGAGCCCAAATGTCAGTCAAAGGGGAATTAAAAAAGTTAAACTGGTAACCAGTAATGTCAGCATAGCAGGGATGAACATAAGCATAGCAGTAAAATATTTTACATTATTTTCAATGTTCAGAGTGATTTTACTGAGAACCCACAAATAGGCCAGGAGGGAATCGATTATCAAAGATATAAAGCTGTTTGGAGGTATTTACAGCTGCAAAACACATTGACAGTCAATTAGGGATATTCCAATCCGATATCGACATCTAAAATCAGTCCAACAGAAGCCGAAAAAAAAAGAGAACTTATCCGTATATATATCTGCCCGACTCTAAAATCACTGATATATGCAGGCTGACAGAAACTGCATAAACCAGTGGTTTAGTAAAAATTGGTCAGTGTGGTTCTCATAAGTGCTGTTGATGACTATTGTTCTCACTTGAACAAGCCTTTTCCAATATGCTACACAACAAAGATGCAATAAAAATTATGTATGATTCATGCTAATGTTGCATCGGGACAATGTCATGGTGAATCTTCAAAGCTGCATTATCGGTATCATATTGGAAATAAAAACTTGCATCAGGACACCCCTACATTTATATATAGAAACTAAAGACCACCATCCATCCTTTTAGTTGTGATTATGCGACAGCTAGAGGGATAAAAGCAGCGTGTCTGATAAGGTAATAACTGTGGTACGCACTCCTGCAGCTAAGAGTCAATTATATCAACTTTAAACAATATACTAAGGAAAATATATCTAATAGCTATACATAAAAAAGAAAAAAAAAATCATTCCTATATAGAGAATGTGATTTATACAACCTTAGCAGTTACTGTTACTTTCTATATATAAAAAATCAATTTGATAAATATTTTTCATTGATGTTTACTGTTTTCTTAAGAAGTCTTACTATCATTTTGTTTATAACCTATAATCAAACACTAATAAAGTTTATAAATTGATTTTCATCCTCACGCTGTATATCAACCTCTAACATTTATATGGCAAGACATTCTATTCTTGATTAACAGATTATTGAGGTTTGTACAAATACATTTTAGAATGCACTTGGATAACATTTCCCACCCCATGCCTGAAGCTGTTGCAGAACTGGAGAGCTCCTTCAGTGACAGACTGCCCCCTAAATGCACCAGGGAGCGTAATCACAGATCCTTCCTCCCAGCAGCTGTAAGACTCTATAACCACCACTGTTCCCAACAACCTCAATAAGTTGTTACATTCATGCTGGTTTTGCACAGTTTCTACCTTAGTCAGTTAAATATCATGCTGCTGTCATTTTGCACATCTCTGATGTTGCAGCTTTTTTCAAATATCCATTACTGTAAAAAATGTCTGCAGCTGTATAATGGTTATTATCCAGGTGCACAAGTCAAGTTTATACTGTTAAACACTTTACAGTGCAGAATTGTATTGTTTATCTTTTAACTCTTCACTATTCTGTTATTATACATTTTTCTGAGGTCAACATTTGTGTGACCATTTCTCTCTATAATCTTTTTGCTGCTGTAAACACCAGAATTTCCCCATTGTGGGACAATAAAGGGATTTTCTATTCTACTTTTTGTATTAAAACACTGGTATAAACAAAACAAAACAAAAAATCTTTTAGCATCTGAATTTATAAATAAACTTCTAGGTTAAATGAAATAAGTTTGACCTGTATCTCTCTGGAGTGTGAGTAGTCTAAAGCCTAATTGTCCAAAGATGTGAGCAACAGGGCTGTTGACGGCTAGCTCTAAATCACCATATCGAGGAACTACGACGCAAACTAACCCAAATCCTACAGTCAATATTAAACCAACAGGGTTATTGTGTTAAATTAAACCAACCAACGCTAACCAGATGAAACAGCCTTTGAACAAACAGCTGAGCTATAAGCAGAAGCAGGTTTGCTAGTTAGCTCAGGCTAATCAACATGCACAGGCTGTTCTCCAACTTATGTAAGCTGGTTAGCTTTCTGTTTACCTCCCCAGCTAGGGTCATGTGAACTACTTCACCAAACGTTTATTTTAGACGTCAATATTATATATATATATATTCACCGGTTTGTTAAATGCTATAATTATAAATTAGTAGAAATGTTACAGAGTCTTCAAATGTCATCCAAACACGCTAAATGGAGAGGCTAGCCTCGGTAGCTTAACTGGAAGGATTGAGGCTGGCTTACACTTCAAGGATCCTGTCACCCTTCGCTATCCCCGCTCGGTCTGCTGCTCCTCCGGGTAGAACAGCGCTGACGTGCTGAAGCGGAGCGTACAGTTCCCCGTTGATGCTCCGGAGCTGGCCTCCCTCGCTGACCTGACCGCGAACGTTAAAACCGTAGCCGGACTCCGACTTGACGATCCGCACTACCCGAGGACCAGACGTTACCGTTGCTGCGTTCTGGCCCGCAGACGAACCGACGACTGGAACGTGCTGGCGGGTCGCCGCGGGGTGAGCAGGCCGACTTTCATCGCCGACGACATCCGCCATCTTCTTATTTAACGGGTACTAAAAATCCCCCTTCTCGTTTGCAGCCGGTGATTTCCAGCAAATTCAAAACAACAGTTGAGCTCTGTCCCCCTCTCAGTTACGTTAGCTCTAAACAGACCGACTCTGTTGATGTGGCCACGCCCCTCGGTGACGTTACGAGTCACAGCAACACAACGTGACCAACCGGAAGCGTCGGTATGCTGCGCTTTTTTATTCTGTGCGAACTGCAAAATCGTCAAAATGATATATAGCAAAATTGTATACAAATAATTTTAAAGTCTCTGAATTCTGACAGCTAACAAACATGTTGGCATTAAGCCATGTATCTTGTTTTAATAAACTTCTGCCCTTCCATTAATTAAATAGCATCTTTGTGTTAAATTGCATTGTCTTAAAAAGTCGCCTAATTCCATAATTTTCCACCAATGTGTTACTGGCCCTCCCAAACAACTCACATCTTTGTCAGTGAAGCTGAGTGCTCCCACATCTCTTCCTTCATGGTGCCCATCTACAGTACGATCCAAAATACTGAGATCAAAGTCAGAATTCTAATAAAAGTCAGAATTCTGAAAGCAAAGTTAGAATTCTGAGAAAAAAGTCACAATTGTGTGATTAAAGTCAGAATTCTGAGATTAAAGTCAACATTTTGACTTTTCTTTTTCATTTAGTCAGAATTCTGACATTTTTCTCATATTATACTGAAATAAAATTGAAAAATCAGTGAACTTTTTTTTTTCAGTGGCCCTAACCCTCTTTCGTAGAACTTTTATTCTCAAAATGTAATTTACAAAGCTAACGCCACAAATTATACTCATATAGACTACAAAATGATACATCAACATTTTCAATAGAATGATAGAAAATCCATTTTTAAAATGTTGCTCCATCAAACTGTAAAGCATTTAGAAAAGGACTGAATCCTTTTCTTTATGATGAAATTTTTATAGCGTTTCAATGCTCTTTTAATCTACGGTAGCTGCTTTTGTGCTTGTTTTATTTATCTATTACCCTTATCCTTTTATTTTATATGTTCCCTTCACTTAGCACTTGGATTTTTTGAAACATATTGTGCTTTATAAATATGATGGATAAAAATATTTCCAATGAATATATAGACCAATTAAATTAATTAGTAAAATGTTAAATATTAAGTAAATTTTATGTAAAAACTATTATTGCACCATTAACTAATTTAATTGTAACTGTGGCTTGTCAAATCTACCCTAACAATTGACAGTTGAACCTCCACCACCTATACAACTATATTTAAGGGAAATTTATGAGAATATATACGATTTTTCCTCTTGGGTAAACTTGAAAGGCAAATAGAGAGCTTATAGATACAGATATCATAAGAAATACTCCTAAATGCAAAATATTGTGCAGTTATACTGTCCATTAATGTTAAATTACTCACCCATCCTTTGTCTGTACCTGTTCAGCCTACGAACACTGTGTGTAGGTGCCTCTTTCTTTAGAGATCTTTGGGATTCAGCCGACCGGAGTGGACAGTCCATTAAACGGCAACAAAGAAACAGCCAGAAAGTAATTTAGAAGAACCAGTTTATCATAACTGTTTTTGGATTCAGTCAGCAGACAAACTAATATTAGCATAACCTACCAATAGGAGAGCAGCCCCATGAAAAGTTGCACATTGTTAAATAATAACATGGACTCACACAACAGCCACGTTGTATTTAAAGATGAGGTATACTAAGAACCTCAGGCTTTCATAGCCTTTGAGTTTCTTATTTTATAAAAGTGTAATTGGTTTTGTTCAGATCGTACCCGTATATCCATTTTCTTTTCATTTCATTTCATTTCATTTATTTTGAAACATGACATGATTTTACAATGTTTGCATAGAATGCTACCTAAACATACAGCATGTTTCAAAAAGGAGCAGGATGAAGCATAAGCTTGTGACACAATTGGGTCTAACAATAAAGCCAAACATGACCTGTTTTGAAACACCGATATTAAATTCTTACCATTGTTAGCTGTGAGATCCCTGTGTTTAAAATTAAGAGGCTAATATTTGGTTGCATTTCTGTATTTTTATTCTTTTGGGGTGGCAGATGAATTTATGCAAGAACTTCCTTTGGATAAAGCATTCAATAACTGAAATTGTTCATATGCTTGGAGGTTTCTTATTTAATTAAAATGAAGGTTTTTTTCTTTTTTTAAGAAACTAAAATTGTGTTTTTATCTCATTAGTTCTTAATTGTATAAGACTCATTTCATTTCCATGGCATAAATAAATACACTACCAAGAAATAAGGGAAGACTCAATTGACACATCCTAGATCTGAATGAATGAAATATTCTCATTGAATATTTCTCTACAAAGCTGAATGTGCTGACAACAAAATCACACTGAAACCATCAATGGAAATCCAATTTATTAACCAATGGAGGCCTGGATTTAGAGTTACAAAATAAATAAATAAATAAATAAATAAATAAAGTGGGAAAAAAACCCACTACAGGCTTTGATGTAATGTCCTTAAAACAGGTCAAAATGAGCCTCAGTACTGTGTGTGGCCTCCATGTGCCTGTATGACCTTTCTACAACACCTGGGCATGCTCCTGATGAGGTGGCAGACGGTATGCTGAGGGATTTCCTCTGAGACCTGGACTAAAGCATCTACCAACTCCTGCACAGTGTGGAGCAATGTGACATTGGTGGATGAACACGGACATGATGTCTCAGCTGCGCTCAATCGGATTCAGGTCTAGGGGAACGGCAGGGCCAGTCCATAGCTTCATGCCTTCATCTTGCAGGAACTGCTGACACACTTCATTCACATGAGGACTAGCATTGTAGTGCATTAGGAGGAACTGTGGGCCAACTGCACCAGCATATGGTTTCACAAGGGGTCTGTGGATCTCATCTCAGTACCTAATGGAAGTCATGCTGCCTCTGGCGAGCACATGGAGGGTTGTCCCCCTGAATGAGTTGACATTGAACACTGAAAAACATTTATTCATTAATTTACTGATTATGGATACATTAATAGCCACAGACCTACTGTGGGTTTAATTTAAAAGTGAACAAACCATGGTTTTAATAATCAAACCTGCTGACAGATGCCAATGCACACAGTATCCCTATACATTTAAAGACAATGATTTGAGTGATATGGCTTCAAATTATATAGCTGTAAAATTAATAAAAAATAAGTAAATAAAGTTGATTAAATAAGTTGGACCGCTATTTAAAAAAATATGTAACTTATGTAAGGTACAACCCGGAAAGTCTATCTTGGTCTTAAGAGATAAAGATGTAATTTGCTTGGAAATGTAAACACATGTACCAATAGGCTTTAAAAGGGGCTCTCACAGATAAATAAGCCTGAAATTAAGTAATCTATATTGAACCAGAGCATGCAGTGGAAAATGAAAAAACAGTCCAAATTAAACATCGGAGCCTCTAACTGGAGATACATACTTTACTTACGACTATAGCCATGTTATAATGAAAAATTATGCATTTTCTTCTTCAAAACATATTTCAAAACAAAATAAAATTCAAGTAAATCCTCAATTTAAAACAGACCATCTTCTTACACGCTTATCCCAAGTGGGGTCGCGAGTGGAGCCTATCCCCAGCTGTCTACGGGCGAGAGGTAGGGTACACCCAGAGAGAACCCACACGTGCTCAGGGAGAACATGCAAACTCCATGCAGAAAGACCCTGGGCTGGGAATTGAACCCAGAACCTTCTTGCTGCAAGGCAGCAGTGCTACCCTCTGCGCAGCCCCACAGAGCATCTTATTCATATTTTTCATGTGGCATTATATAATCTCAAATGGTTAAGATTGTGTTTTGCAGTTATAACCAACACAAAACTTTTCTGTATCACTGCTTGTGATTTAAACAACAGGCTGCAGACTAGCGGAGTTAATTATGCTGTTTCCTAAGAGGATGAAGATCCTGGTTTAGAATTTGAGCTTGGGGTCTTTCTCTATGTCAGCATCTTTTCTCTTTGCATGCAAATACCATCATCCTTCCACAGTGGGTGTGGAAAACCTCACAAATAATAGCTTACTATCAGTCAGGGTGTAAAGATAAAATAATCTCAGATACACTGTTTGAGAGGGGAAACAACTATTTATTTTTTAATGACAAAATCACTCAAAAGTGAGTTGTGATTTCTTTTTTTTCTAGAGGCAGATCTTTCAGACGGCCTCAAGGTGGCACTCAGGCTACTATTTTTTTCCAACAAAGTGCTCATGGCACATCTGGGTGAGGCAGCTGACCAGGTTGACAAACTCACTGAAGTCCACGCTGTTGCTCTTGTTGGTGTCTAGGTCCTTGAAGATGCGGTCGATTGCAGCCTGGTCATTGGCTTTCTGTAGCAAAAGCAAAATGTGAATCTATTTCTTACCTTAAATCTCATAATAGAGATCTAACCATCATTTCAGTACAAAGATACACAGATATCAAAATCATATGGACGATCATAAAGCTGACATAAATAGATTTTTACATACAGTGTATAATGCGAACAAACAATTGCAAGGTAAATGGGACTGTTTTGAGAAAAAAGATGAATGTTCTTTGAACAGTGCCTTAAGCGGTATTCTTACACTCTGAACCCCATAGATTTTGTTGCAGCTAAAAAAAAAACAATGTCTGTAATAGATACAATCATGAAGTCTACCAGTATTGCACAATACAGAAGGTTTTATTCAGGTTTTATTTTTCATTGACTGCCAAGTGTTAAATTGTAAAATACAATTTTATTTTTAAAAATTGCATACGAATTAGTTTATTTCATTCATAATAAATATATCAAGCTTCCGTCAAAATAGATTATCATATTTGCTTGAAACATGATTTATGTAAACTATGTGATTGTAGCTCTTGATCTATGTTTCAACCATATCTCCTGCTGGAAGGTTAAATATTAGTTGTGAATATTAAATAAAAAGGGAGGCAGATCGTGCTTGTTTTACAACCTTCAAATTAAGCATTAACAATTTACCAAAATCTCTAATATATACAAAAATTAAGTTTTTTTGTATTTTGTATGATATGAAATATAAAAATAATGAATTGACTCCCATGAGAACAAGGTTTCTGAATAAACTGCTGGTGTTATTTTTCTCAATGTAACAAATAATTTTATCCTTCATGTTGC